ACCAGAACTGAACATAATGCGGGGATTCTCTGAAAGTAATTTGCCTTTTGATGGCAACTGTGGCCTCTGACTGAAGTACAAATATCAACTTAGGATGCATAACAGAGAGGGAAAAAAAAGGGACTGCTGCTGACAGTGATGCTTTTTAACACTATGGTGTCTCAGTGGCTTTTTACTGCAAGCTGTGAAGGAGAGGAAGAGGGAATATGACATAAAAGGCAAATGACCTACTCTTGAAGAAATAAAAATGAAACGCTTCCTTTTGTTCCTGTTCTATCTCCACAGCATAGTTAAGAATCTAATGGACTGATTCCAGGGCACATTTAAAATTCATCTGATGCATTGCATTCCCATTCCCATCTACAAGATTCACGCAGAGTCGTATAGAATGCAGCTGACAAAGGGAAATGGTTTTTCGGGGCTGGAAGATTGCTAACATTCCCAAGTAGATTGTGTTTGTCCACTCCTCTTCTTCTCCCGGATGGATGTTCTGTCCGTTGCAATGTCTTAAATGCAGCACGGCTTTGGAAATGGCAAGCTCATCATGCCTCTCACCGTTTTTAATGTGTTATAAATATGCAGCAACATGTGCTGCGCCGCCTTGTCTCTGTGTGTGCGAACATGTCCCGGCGTACGCATACGTGGGCAACACACAGAGAGATGAATGTCAAATGTGTGATGACAGGAAGTGCAGGGAAACAGCTGCTTGTGTTGTAATTAGCAGCCATACGAAGAAGGAGACACGGAATAAGGAGATTGCAAATAAAAGACTTCCTCTATTTTAAGAAACTCCCTGTGGAATTGGTTTCACAGATATTTTTCTATTTTATATGTCAGCACTCCTGCAAATGCCAAGTTGACATCAAACAGCAAAGGATGGTGGCTGTAGCAGAGCATGCAACTCCTAAGCTTGGGTTTGATCACAAGACTGTGTTCTGAAATGTAATCTTTCAGAAAAATCATTTGGATGGGGCAGATGTTGGCGTGATGCCACCACTAACAAGCAGCTCAGGCATACAAGATGTTTTGTGGCCCAAATCTACTAACAGACCAAAGTCTGGTGTTTCTATCAAAGTCTGGGTTTGCACAAAATCAAAAACTGAAGAAATTTCAAACAGATAAATATTTATTTCTCAATTTCCATCCATCCTTGTGGTAGAGAATTGGCTCTATTTGGAGCTTCCAGGTGAGCACCTCACCTGATCTCTTTGATTTCAATTTCATGCATTCCTTAAATATCCAAGAAAGAACACACTACATGAATTACATAAAAAGGAAGGCAAATTTATAACATACGATAAAAAAAACCCATAGAGTAAGCTTGAAGGAGTACAATTACTAATTTGAGGTTAAGAGGAAAAAAGAAAATAGTTTATTTAATATCATATGCTTAGAAATCAATATATTAACAAGGTGCTGTCAGAAAAAAGCTCTTTTTCTATCTGCTGTGAAAATCCTGCACAGAGGGTCATTCCTGCCCACTGCAATAACCTTTTGCAATGCAAGTGTTATTATTTGACTCTTTGTTATTTTATTTATTTATTTATTTATTTATTTTGCTGGCTTTTCTTCCTTTTTGAAATAAAGTGGGTCATTTTGATTGGCCAGACACCAGTTTATCAACATCTCAACAACTTTGGAGAGACACCATAGCAAAAGCTCTATTATCAAGCCAACCAAAAACATACTTCTACTGACCGTGGTCGGCTGTGTTCGCTGTCTATTTGGAAATTTTGCTTCTTAATTCAAACCAGCAAAATTATAGGTGGAGTGATGCAAGGGAGGGTTTCTGTTTCAGGAACCACAGGGCTTCATCTTTACCATGCAAAAAACGTAATCCTGTTTGGAAATGAGGACAGAAGACGGACAAATGGAAAGAGGTGCTGACCGCAGTAGTGCTGACACTCAATTTGTTTGAAACTGAATTTAGCATTCTGTCTGCGTTCTCATCCTCACCTATATTGTCATAATACATAATGACAGAAAAACGAGATCCTGGATTGGAACTGCTAGAAAGAACATTTTCTTTCATTTTTGGGAGCTTGAAGTATGGCAATCGCTCCTCCGTAACTAAACGTGTTGGCAGAGGTTGGTTGGTCTTCTGGTCAGGATTCTCCTTTTGGGGGTTTTCCAGGCACACTCCGAGGAAGGAAACCTTGGGGGCAAACCCAGAACTTGCTGGAGGGATGATACATAAATGCTTTCTGGCTTGAGAAAATGTGTGCTTTTTAGAGACACCCTCTGTCAATACTCTCTCATGTCATCATGAAACACCAGATATTTAGCCTTGCTTATTAGGAGGTCTCATGTCCTTTGATTGTGCTAAAACAGAATACTGGATCGACATTACTGGCAACTAGGAAACATTTATTAATGCATGTGCACTATGGGGTTTTTATGATGTAAAGCACTTTGAACTGCCTTGTTGGTGCCATGGTCTACTGACTGGTAAAAACCCATACTTCAGATCTACATGGATTTGAATCCTCAATGATGATCAAGCCACTAATCTATTTGGTTTGACGGGCTGTTCTTCAGTGAGTTTTCTAGAAAAAGGTTTTCTTGTGTTGAATAAGGTTATTAGCTTGAACTTGGAACCAAATGCCATATTCAGGGTTATTTGGACTCTTGGCTTTCGTTATTTCGCTGTATTGATTTCTTATTTTCCTTCATACATGTTTGTCTCACTCTTCTCATGTTTTACTCTTAATATGCTCTTAATCTTTGTGAAAGTTATGGTTAGATTTACTTTCTAGTTCCGCTGTTTGTCCTCCTTTGCTGCCTTCCATCAGTCCCCTTCCTTTCCTCTTCCTCAGCTGCTAACAGTTTACCTTATCAGGTCTCACTCAGTCCCTTTCTGGCTCAAATCAGTTTCCCTATTGGTTCCTCTTGCATGCCCTTCTCCTGAGCAAAACCTCCTCGCTGAATCCTTCTGTTAAATCCCATCAAATCCGCTTCAACCTGCCCAGTCCTGGTACCTTCCTGTTTAATTTTGTTCTGCTCTGGCTCCCTGCATTCTCCATGTCTTTTTTGTTTCTCGTTTTTTACTTTCTCCACCCTCCCAAATCCCGTCTGCACTTTGGCCCATCAAAAAACTGTCTCATCGTGGCAGTGTCACCCTTAGAAGTTAAAGATATTAACTTAAAAATAAGACATTTTATCAATTTTATTTTATTATGCTTTTTTATATTGTATCTTTTTGTATTATTGTGTGCATTTTTGTTACATTTTGTTTTGTTGCATTTTTATTATGCCTAATTTTTGTTTTATACATCACAATTATTTTCTCTTCTGTCGAGCACCCACAATTTAACTTTAATTTACAATACAGTGGAAATAAACTATTGTATTCCATTTCAAATTTCACCCCCAGACAATTGGTTTATAACCCAAATAGACTCCACAGGTGCAACATATGTTTAAGGTAGAAGAACTCACTCATTCATCAACCGCAAGGTGTTTTCTTAGTCTTGAAATTATTATTATTTTTTGTATTTGAAGTGAGAAAATGTATTGAATCTAGGATCCTCTGTTGACATATTACACCAATCTACAGTTGCAGTGACACATCTGATATTTTGTGGTTTGATTCATGTGGTTTTAACAATGAAATTGTTTGTAAATAGACTCCAAATCTCTAATCTTGGAAGGGTTTCTTGGCGTGGCTTTCATTTTTAGCATCATCAATAGATTCTCCATTGAGTTTCAAGACAAGACTCTGGCTGGACCACTCAAAAACATTAATTTTCCTTTCAGACCAAAAGCAAGAGATGCTTCGATTGAATGAAAATATGACTTTGGAACTAAGTCTGCCATGTGTAAGTATGATTCTTGGTTTTTATCACTGTGAGAATAATCTGGAACTCTACCGATATGGGTTGCACAAACATGGGACAAATTCTGAAGGAAAAGTGGTGCATTGTATCTCTTTTCCTTCCTTTTTTTGTCAGGTCAAAACTTGCCACCAGCAGAGAATATGGCTTCCCAAATTGTCATTTGTTTGAAAAACTTTTCGCTGAACCTCGAGCAACTTGAATGTGCTTTTCCACTCTTCTTCCAGTCTCTGGGAATTTGGAAAAAGAAAAAAACAAAACCTTTGACAATAGGTCTTTGGAACACCTAATAATTCCATGGTCATTTTTGCGTCTTTGGTTAAGTAAGACGCCCTGAAGATGTCTGAGTCAGTAGTATATTGCTTCAAAACCTTTCCGGGGTAGTAGTAGTTATCTGTTTTGCATGTGCATTTTTTCCTTCCTCTAAACTTTCCAGGAACATGCTTTGGATCTTGCACAGGCTTAACTTCCTTAAAAAAATGCAAATATTTTTTGTTGGATAGCAGGCTTCTCCACGACTGCGTAAGTCATAACATTGCCATAACGCAGGGATTCTGTTTTAAAATTAGTAGTTATTATTATTATCATTATTAATTAAAAACTGAACAGAAAAATGAACACAATCCCACGCTTGAAATAGACCAATCTGCCAAAATTAATCTATATAATTCTTCAATTAATTTGTGGTGCTAAATTAGAAATATTCCAGTTCAACTGAGATGCACCTGTATTTCACTCCCGGCGCCCACAGACCAAACGCCCACTGCAATCATGCCTTTTTTTTCTTTTTTCTGTCGCTCCAGTGTTTATTTTCATAGGCTACCGGCGTCCAAAGGAGGGTCCAATCCGCGCGCACAGCCGCTGCGAGCCGAGGCGTCTTTCTCCTCGCTGCATGCATGTCTCAAACTGCACGCAGGCACACAGACAGACAGAGAGGTGAGGCGAGGAGGAGCTCCAGCCCCGCAGGAACCGACCGCGTAAACGGAAGGCTTGCCCATGCGCTTGGATTATACCGGGCAGTGAATTGTCACGGCTCAGAACAGCGACAGCACACCTTCACTCTGCAGCTCATTAGCCACTCGTCTTCTAATAGTAAACAAATTAACAAATTAAAAAAAAAAGTCTGGATGTTTGCGCACAAACTACAACAGTAGCGGCGTTTTATTTTGATTTTTCTAGTTTTTTTTTTGTCTTTTCTTTTCTTACCTCACCCTGGATAAAATTGTATAAAAGTATTTTTCTTTCACCGGCACTGCTTGACCTGCTGAATCCGTGAGTCATCGGAGGAAGAGGGATTTCTCCTTTCGCATCTAGACTCCCTGGAACTACATCATCTAAAATCTGTAAGTCGTCACAATGAATGTTTTCTTCTCTGAACTTTCTTTACTTTTCTTTTTATTTTTTTGTTGTTGCTCTATTTACTTTTTGTTTTGGAAACTTAAATATGTATGAGTTAGAATTGAGTTTAATAACTCAAAAGCTACATTTCGCATTTTTTGTGCACAACGAGACGCCTGGAGGGATTTGCTTTATATTGAAGCTGCTGACGCAAAACGATCTGATTAGACGTTTTCCTCATATTTATGCAGTAGCTGGATGAATAACAACTGCTTGCATATCTTGCAAAGTGGGAAAAAAATGTTCTTGAGCATATGTCGCTTACAATTATTTTCTACAACAACATCATTAATTAAGCTATTATAACCAGTCTCTTCTGAAGGAATACTGATTGAGTTGGTCCTTAATTGAGGGTAATGTTTAGAAATACCATGCTCTGATTCTCTTTTAGTAAACTGTCACTCACTTTGGAGAAATTTCCAACAGGAACTGTGGTCAAAATCCTTTATTGCATAGTCCAATTGTGTCTTTTCTGCTCAACGTCAGAGAAAAGTGAATAAGGTGATTCCTGTATGTGTCAGACACAAATGCACACATCTGAGAAACGTGTGCAATTCTTACACGTTGCACTTCTGGATCCTCAGGGTCAAATGTTGAAGACCAAGGTGAAGCACCTACACAGTAATTAAAGGTCAATGTATGCGACCTTTCTTTGCTTGTTCTTATTAGAAACAACAGGATAAAAAAAAAACGATTCTTTCTTATGTGCACTCAGAGCGTGATATTCTGTCAGTCAAATCAACCTTCTCTTCTTCTGTGTTTTTTTTTTTTTTTAAACCATGCTTCATGGCTGCAGCCCCATATCGATCAACTTAGCAAAGTCACATAAAATGGCGAAAAAATAGGCATGCCTTCATTGACCCACCGCCCACAACACGGAAACAAAACGAGGCAAATTCTTCCTGGATGCCGCCTCATGTCAGTCTCCATTAGGAGCAAGGAATAGTGTTTTGAATTCAGGAAGATGTCTGCCAATATATTAGGGAGATTCCTTTGGGTTTCATGCAGCCTTAGTGCAACAGCCTGTGCCATCGGGTTTTATTAGAGGCTTGATCGGCATCAGCGAGCAGCAAATGCTGAACTCTGATGTACGCACAGCTGTGCAACACAGAGGAGGACAGGAATAGCAGCAAACACACAATCAGCTTGTCAGAAAAGGAACAGCGGGGATAGAGAGAGAGAAAAAGGGACAGCCATAAGTGAAGATCTTTACAGACAGGCATGCTCAGATATGTAAGGTCCCCTGCAGTGAACTGGACTTGGCTGGCTGCGTGTTTGTATGCTTTCTGGTGGCTCAGAGATAACTCTGCCATCCATCAAGCTGTGAGAGAGCTTTCCGCCTCGGTGTGGGTCGACCTGTCTGCAAGATCGCAAACGGGTGGGCGCAGAGGAGATGGGAGTTCAGAGAGCTGCGTGTAGGAAAAGACGTAACTCATTAGAGCTTGTGGGAGATAGCAGGTAATAGTTTTATTGCTAAACTTCAGTAAGAAACAGCGCTTCAAAATGACAATTCAGGATTTTTTAAGGGAAGCTCTGTTCAAAGGTTACAAGCAAGTTGCTTGTTACACAAATCCAAATTATTTAGTTGAGAATCTTGAAGCTTATGGTCAATCAAGGAGATTTTATATCAAAGTAGATTTCCACCATCTCAAAGGATCTCCAATCTCAAAAAGCATGCCTGTCTTCTATGTAAACACTGTTTTATGAACATTTAAGCCATCATGACGTTTCCATCATGCTGGGTAATTTGCACCAAAGTGGATGATGATTTATACAGAAAATGAAGGTTGGAGGCAATGTGCAGCTAATAATCTTCCGGTGTGAAACATTTACTGAGAACAAAGGAAATAAAGTGTTTCTAGTTATAGTTTCTGCCCGTTGTAAAGTGAAGGGTGTAAAAAGCTAAAACTTTTTTTTTATTAGTATTTTTGCACCATCTTGTTTTTCTTTTCTCTGATCAGAATAGCTTTCCTCATTCCATGCTCAGTAGGTGTTTCGCATAGGAACACCTCCTACCTTTATTTCCAGTGGAAATAAGCATTGGCAAGCATTGGCTTCTGCATAAATAAGGCAGACGGTTGACGGTTCGTAAAATGCATTCACGTAAATCTCTGCTAGTGCAATCTTTGTTCTTGGCCTCTATCAGACTAGCTATTAGCTTCGGCACACCTGAACTAATCTGGATAAAAAACATTTGGAGATGTATGTGCAGAAGGTAGGACATCACCTTCTTACAACACTTCCACAAAAATCCCGAACTATCCTGTCAAAGCTTTATTCACACGGCAATTACGTTGTCCTGCTGTGCCTATTTTTGGACAACGGTCCCTCTGTGATTATGTGGCATGCAGATCAATGCCCATGAGAAAACACGACTTGCACACTCCCAAAAGGACTCAACTGAGCGTGCTGCACAAACCGAACTTCTGTGTTCTTCCTTGCCTCTCTACCCATGCACAAAGTAATCTAATTGACTCCTGTCGCTCAGGGAAGTTTAGCTGACCTGCACTGGTGTTGATAGTTCTTGGTTTTAATAAGGCTAGTGGTTCATGTTTTATTCATAGATGCACGCAATAACTCTGCATGTCTGAGCCTCATAATCGGCGATATGATGAACAAGACAACCTTTAATTAACCGTGCAGCGCAGTTGACACATCTCACACTACCTTACACCTCCTTGGTAAGACAAATCACGAAAAGATCATTTGAATTAGTGTGATTACAGCCACGGGTTAATAATATGGGTAAAGCAGAAGCAGCCAGTTGGATTATATACCCTATCAGGAACTCAGAATTCTAATAATTGCTGCCTCCACCTTTCTCCACTCCCATTCGTGTTTTCGATTTTGAACTATAATCGAATGCAGTCCACACCAAAGAAAAACAAAGAGTGAAAATAGCCACTCAATTTAGCATCCAACCCTAAAGCCATGAATCAACTACCCACTTCAGCATCATGAGCCACCAGCAGAGTAAGGCGAGTTTTTCTCACAGATTACACGTTGCAAAATAGTTTTTTGATAAAACTATTTTTTTCTGTCATTGTGTATGCTTTCCTCAAGGCTGCACTGTCCCTCATACCACTTGTTAAGTGTTTTAGTTTACTATGCGCAAAAGGAATGTTACTGAACATAAGCACTCAATAAGTTCTTCCTGCCTATCCCATTGCAATGTATTGCTCCTCATTCCTTTTCTTTCCATTTTATTCTAAAAGAAGCGTAAACTGATTAAACAAAACAAAAATTAGATATTCCCAGTGGCTGGAAGAAACTGAAAGGTCACCCAACCTTATTTTTGTTTGCAAGCCATACATCAGGCTACAATAGATCCAAATGTGGTTTAACCTTTTCGATTATGAAGTCTTTGTGCCAGAGGTCTTTGAATCAATGATAGAGCTACATTTATGCTGCTATTGATGTATCATTTGGCAGCCAATGGCTGCGTGCGAGTGGGGAGACGCTTTTATAGATACCCAAGGTAATACTGAGAATCGGGTCTGGTTGAAGGATAAGGATCCACACTGTTCTGTAAATTCAACTCCTTTAAGATAGTACGCTATCTCTCAAACCAAACAATCTATTCAGCTTTTGTCTTTGTTTTGCTGTTTTTTTTTTGTCAACTGTTCTTTAATCAGAATAATATGAGCCCTCCCAAAAGCAACGTTAGTACACAGGTTCACTAGTTACATCACATAAGGCACAAAGCAGCTGTTCTGGCAATCGTTCCTCTGGGGATGTATTTTTCTTGTCGATTTCCCCATCATTCCAGCAGGAAGAAGCAAGAGCAACATGTCATTTCAGAAACCGTGTTTGTTTAGGCAGGTGTGTTCAGAGAGCACACAGTGCCGCTGACAAAGTGCTGACAAACAGGGCAACTGTTTAACAAGAAGAAAACTTGACAGATTCATGTCAGTCAAAGAATGAAGACGGTCCCAGTCATCATGGCCCTTTGTTCCAGTTTCGCCTATAGTTTCCGTAAAGGCCTGATGGATTATTAAAGTCAGCAGACTGCAACAAGTACGGCTGATACATTTTTAAGTGGGATTTGACTCAAGTCACTTAGCTCCCATGCTTGTCCCTCTCATGATTTCATCGATTCAAATAAACATGAATGAGAATTAATTGTTTATTTTTCAGGAGACTTTCTTTTCTGAAAAACAGTATTTTTGTCAAGTACGACAGTGGAAATTAATACTTCATTACCCAGCGGTGTATTTATTGTTAGTGTTCATTTATTAGCGTAAAGTGAAAGAACTGGATAATATCTTTAAATGCTGCAGTGCAGCGAAAGCAGCAGCTCTCTTGTTTGTGTGTTATGACTCAGATAATAACTTTATTCATGCATTCATTCAGGGTCTTGTGCATGGCTCTCAAAGCCAAAAAGAGAATCTGCTGTCGTAAAATTTAATTTCACAGTCATCTGTTTCAGTTATCTCCGCCTCGGTAAGCTGTTTGCCAAGCGCAGGTGGCTGGATTTAGCGGCGGAAGAGCTTGCATCATTTGAATATGAGGCTGGAACTCAGAGAAGAGGAGCCCATGAAATTAACGAGTGGCGAATGTAATTATCCCAGCATCAATGTTCATGTAATGCAAGCGAAGCCGTGCGTTCCATGCTGTGACACATTCACTCTAAAGCAGTGCTGAATCCACTGCATTTCAGATATTGAGCAGCTGAAGTAGAATCAATAGGTGGTGCTAGAGTAGAGCGTGTCGCTGAAGCCTTGGTAAACAGGCCTGGGCAGACAGATTGAGGAGATGAGAACGTATCTGGGAAAAAGACAGACACTCTTGCAGAATGATTTCTCATAGTGCAATTTTATCATTAACATATCTCTGTGTCTCCTCCAGCTTCTTATGCTTTCTTCTCCAATAATACCTAAATTCAATTGGCAGTAAAACTACTCGGGACACTGCAGCTGCACAGCTGGCGCCAAAACGTGCTTCT